AACTGGAATTTCAAGTTTCAAGTTTCAACTGAAATTTCAAGTTTCAAGTTTCAATAGGTTTATGAGCCTTGAATCAGAAATTTACTTTTAATATACGGAATCTTGTATTGTGAGAAACATGATGTCGCTAAAAGCTAGTATCAAGTAGGAGTAGTGTTGATGAATGTGAATAATGAAATCATTGTAGCTATTCTCAAAGCATTACGGGAACGGGAATACGGAACGGGAACGGGAACGAAAATTTTGTTACGGGAACGGGAACACGGGATCGGGAACGAAAGTTTTTGTTACGGGAACGGGAACGCGGGAACGGGAACAAAAATTTTCAATACGGGAACGGGAACACGGGAACGGGAACCAAAAAAAGTTGTTCCCGCAGGTCTCTAGTGATTACTCAAAATAACGATCATGTATTTATTTTAGTAGCATACGGTGGAATTGCTTCTCTGTAATGAATAGAGAAGTTCTTTTAAGTTTTTCGTCATCAAACTTTAACGATAAGTAAATAAAGTTTGTTGGTTATATATAAATTTTTGACAGTGATATTTAGAGAAATAGATCAGTTGATTATTTTTAATTGATAATAATACATAAACATATCTTATCAAATGTAGGTTGTTTTTCTCACGACAAAAAGTGTTTATCATTATTCTTGACATAAATTATGTGGCAATTGAGGATATGAGTGTATCGAACAACCATAATATAAACATTTTACCTCAGCAATAAGGATGTCGTTTTTGATTTGTGTGATGATCGAAAGATATGTGTTGTATACCATTTCTCGTGGGTTCTGATGTTATGGGGTCGTTTTTTACTTTTGTTGAAGTCGTTCGCTTTATGATCCTAAATTTGTTTTTCTTGTTGATTTTTTTCAGTTGATCTGTAGTTTGAATTCAAGGACAGTGTATATGATGCTGTATATTATACTGTCTTGTTCGCTTAGTATTTTATTAGATTCGTATATAATTAATAGTCGACATAATAGAGATAATCTAAACTGAAAATTTTTGTTTCGTATTATTGAAATTGATGATAGATGATTATGTGACATGTAATTTATTTTTATTTTTCTGTGGTATTTATAAAAAGAATAAAATAAAAACCAAAGAACTAATAGCAGTAAAGTTTATAAACTGCTATTTACGTACAAGCATAGGAATGAAAATCGATATTATTATTCTCAGCGAATCTATTTATAATGAAAACTCATCTGCAAATGTTGATGAAGTAATTGAATGCATAGAGAGGAAGAATAATTATCTAAAATGCGAGTATATATTATCGTGATGGAATAAGCATTCATTTTAGTGAAACTGATCGAATTTTACTAGTAGAAAATTAATCAAGTGAATCTGGAATCACATGATTTTTTTGTAAAATTCGCTATGATCTCTTTTCTTGCTGTTGTTTATTAAAAAAACTAAGCAATATATTTTTTCATGTAAAATAAAAGTTTGAAGACTGTACCATGACAATAAAAATATCTGCTGAATGTTGATTAGCTCCAATGTAGACCTGAGTACTAAAAAGTGTTGGTCCGATTTTGAGTTGGAAAAGCTTACCTGTGCAGGACATTAGCCTTTATATCTAGATGTCTTTCTCTGAAGATTGACTTGACCATAGCAAAATTTGTGATTATTGCATCACATACAATATGTTTGTACTCGCAAAAAAATGGTTAGAACGTCGATTAGCGTCTATTTCATATGATATTCTAAACATGAATTTTAATTAAATAATAAATAAATATTATGAATATTCATTGAAATTATTTTGAATAAATATATATTACTAAAGTTTTATTCTATAAAATTCTTATTAAACAATAAGAATAAACCAATACAATTCTATTATAGTTTTCATGTGGAATACATGTAATAAGTAGAGAAAAAAAAAAGTCGTGCTCAGAAAGGTAAAAGGTTAGAAAAATAAATGAAAAACTTGTTTTCATATCAAATAGAGACATCATTAAAAAAAAAAGAAACCCTATTTAATACAAAAATTTTTCATATATTTTCTTCTTTATTTTGTCTTTTCTTTTGTTTGTATATGATCAATATAATCTTGATCAAAATACACAACAGTTATTGTTATATCATCACGTATTGAACGTGGATTAGGAAATGTTAATACATCAGATAAAAGTTTACTATCAAATTGTCCTTTTGATGTATATGCAAGTGCATGACGTATTAAATGTGTTGCTGAATTTTGATCAATTGGTTGATTTTTAATAGCTTGTTGTCGTGCAAGTAATAATTCATTAATTTCTTTTAATTTAAGTATTGTTGTACTACCAGTTTTATGTAATACAAATCGATCAAAACTTTGTATACCTTTTTGATGATTAAATATAAGTTGTACAACTCTTTCAGATGATAATAAATCCCAAACACCATCTGTAGCTAAGACAAGAAATTTATCTTTTTTTGTTAATTTATGTTTTGAAATTTCTGGTCGAACAGTTAAATATGGTGGTGTTAAATAATATTGTGGTATAGCATCACCTTTTTTATAATATGGTTGTAAATATTCACGAAGATAATTAGCTGGCCATTTAAAACGTATATCACCAAATGCACGAAATGGCATTAATAAACCAAGTAAACGATCACTACGTATTATTGAATTCGATTCATTTATTGGATGTTCACTTAAAACTCGTTTAACTTCAGCTTGATTACGTATATTATGATCTTGAGAAAGATGAATAACTGTTTGATTACCTTCATCATCAATACTACCTAGAAAAAGAAAAATTATTGGTTTTTATTTTAGTTTTTTTATTGATTAATACAGTAAAATCTCTCCATAATGAGTACATCCTTGATCTGAACAGTAGACGCCTCTTGTTGGTCCGATGAGGAAATAATAATCTCTAGAATTGAAGTAACTAGAGATATCCGAAATCAAGTTTATTTTTGTTTCGATAATTTTTTTTTTATGAGATATCATGTTAAAAAGAGAATAGAAAAGTATAGAGATAAAAGTTTTGACCTTTCCTCTAGATCACATACGTAATGGACATAGCCGCGAGATGCGTGTGATAGTTGTTCTTTAATTTTCTATCACACTCATTGTAATGTATTGCGATCAATATCTTTTATACACTGCATGTATTAACAGTAGGTGGAAATTCATCAACGGAAATGTAACTCTTTAATTTTCTCCTTTACAATATTACTCGCTCCATTGTATTGCATATTTTAATCCTGCAGAGATTGCACTAACAGCTATTCTCATCCATTCAATCTCAGTAGTTCTTTTCTATTGGGCACGATACTAGTGGTTTTAGTTTCCTAAGTATCGGTTAGAGACTTGCAATTTAACTTCAAAACCCGATTTCGACTTGGATTCTAGTAAAGTCGAAGTTGGAATCGGAGTAAAAAAACTTAACTCCACAGATCTCTAGTACCGGTTCTCCCGATGTAGAGAAAACAATTTCAGAACTTATTCGTATCACATCTGTACTAATTTTCCAACACTCGTTTTTTGATTTATTTATCAAATGGCTAACATTTTTTTTGGGCCATCCCTTATGAATGATGTTCTGATTGATATGATTTATAAGATAATTTGCTTGCAACCACACCCACTATACTCTTAAGCTCAGGTTGTGTCAATTTTTCTCTCGTCGTTTCGATCGCGGTGACCGTAACTAAAATAGGCACGGCATATCTCTATGGGTAACGTACGTTGTATCAGTCGTATGCAGAACGAGAAGAAAATGACGTTGTTTGTTTTTTTGTTTACGCTCTATTCTATTACGACACTTGCAAGTGCCTACAGGAATTTGATGATAAACCAAAGGATAAGAACGAAAGAAAAGAAGAAAACAAACAATATACCAGAGAAACATAGCGAACGAAACCATTCTAACAGAAAAATGAAAGACTAGAAAGGTAGTAAATAGTGTTTGAACGTTAATCTCGTGATTTACTTCATCGGAAATAATTGATCAATACGATCATTAGTCAATTTACAATAATTATCCTTAATAAAATATCTTCTAAAAAGAACGAGAAGTTTAAATCAGATGAGAACATATTATTTAATCTCTTCAAAATATATCGTTCGATATAAGTTT